GCAGCAGCAGCAGCAGCAGCAGCAGCAGCAGGGAAAAGGGAAAGAAGCAAAAAGGGAAAAGGGGATCTGGCGGAGAGGACGGAGCTGAGTTGGAGGGGAAATTGGGATGTACGTACACCGCAGCGCCTGAGCCGGCTTTTCCGCAGCAACAAGTTCGGCAGAAAAGTCTGGAATTTGGAAAAGGAAAAAAGAGAAAAAAAAGAAAAAGAAAAAAGGCAAAAGATGGCGAGAGGAGGCTGCTGCTGCAGTTCGGAGGAGAGGAGAAGACTTTTGCTGCTGCTGCAGAGAGAAAAGGACAAAAAATGCAACTTTTCGACAAGTTTCCACTTTATTTGCAACAAACTGTTCCTAATTCCCCCCGCGGAAAGTTTTAATTTGCTGCTGCTGCTGCTGCTGCTGCAGCTGGGACTCGCGAGGTGTATGTACACCTCAGCACCAACTGGTGGCGGTCCACCCGACCGCCTCCCTGCCTTTCATTTTAATCTTTTTCTCTGAAATAAACCTTTTAGGACTATTAAACATCTCAAAAACACTTTTTTTGCATTTATTTTCTTTTTTAGATCCTTTTTCGGCGCAAAAACAAACAAATTTGACCTCCCCGACACCACGCAGCCCGCCGCTGCATGCACTGCTTCCCGTCCGCCTCCTTTTCGACTTTTTGCAATTCCTTTTATTCCTTTTAAGTCTTTAATTCCTTTTAATTATTATTTGCAGCTTGTTCTTCTCCATTTCGCGCTTTTCTGGGGTGTCTGTACACCCGGAGCCCCGTCAATCTGCACAGAGTTCAACCAATCTTTTTCTCTGCCTTCCACTTTTCTTCTTCGCTGCCGCCTCCCGCCTAGCCCTCCCTCCCTCAGCGCCCTTCTAAGACCAAGGGTTTAGGGTTTAGGGTCTAGAGTTTAGGGTTTAGGGTTTAGGGTTTGCCGCCCCCCTCGCCTCCCGGGCCACCCCCCAGCCTCACGACCACCACAACATATATATATATATATATATATATATATATATATATATATATATATACAATTATTGGGTCTTTGCTGCAGCAGCAACAATAGATAAATATACTTTTGCTGCTCCTCCCTTTGCTGCTGCAGCAGCGCCCGCCACCATGAAGGGATCAGCAACAGCAGCAGCAGCAACATCAGCAGCAGCCCCCGTGTGCCATCTGTGTGGGGCCTGCGCTGTCAGCCCATCCTATACTTCAGCAGCAGCAGCAGCGGCAACAGCAGCAGCAGCAACACCAGCAGCAGCAGCAGCAGCAACATCAGCAGCAGCAGCAGCAGCAGCAGCAAGAGGGGGGCCCCTGTATGGGTTTGCGCGGTGCCTAACGCGGCTGCTGCGGCACGAGGGGCCCCAAAGGGGCCTCCAAATGCGGCCCGACGGCTTTGTGTCAGTTGCTGCTGTTTTGCTGCTGCAGCAAAACAGCAAATTCACTTTCGCCGATTTGCTGCAGGTCGTAGCAGCAGACAACAAACAGCGCTTCCAGCTGGCTCTCGCAAGCAGCCCTTTTGCTGCTGCTGCTGCTGCAGGGGAGCAGCAGCAGCAGCAGCAGCAGGGCCCCCTCAGCCCCCTCCGGGTGCTGCCGGCCGGGGCGGTCTGCTGCATGCGCTGCTGCGGGGTGCCTCCAGCAGCAGCAGCAGCAGGGCCGAGGGGCTCTGCTGCTGCTGCTGCTGCTGCTGAGGTGTACATCCGGGCGACGCAGGGGCACTCAGTTGCTGTTGTGGAGAGTTCGTTGCTGCTGTCTCCGGTGGTATCTGAGCAGCAGCTGCTGCAGCAGCTGCTGCAGCGGAGGCCCCCCGGGGGCCCCCCGAGTGCTGCTGCTGCCGCTGCTGCTGCTGCTGCTGGGGCGAAGGGTTTTGCTTCTCCTTTTAAAGTAGTTTTTGTTCACGGGACCTTCCTGAAGTGTTGGGAGTCCATTAAACTTCAGGGAATTCGAAAAATGGGAAGAAGACATATTCACTTTGTCCCCTGCATAGCTGCAGCACCAGCAGCAGCAGGTGCAGCAGCAGCAGCAGGCGCAGCAGCAGCTCCGGCGCAGCAACGGCCGCCGTCCACCGCCCCCCTTGAGCCGCCGCAGCCCGCCGCCGCCGCCGCAGCAGCAGCAGCGGCAGCAGCAGCAGCAGCAGCAGCAGCGGGATCGCTGCAGCCGCTGAGCGCGTCGGGTTTTCGAAGAGGGTGCGAGTTGCTGCTGCTGCTGAACTTGGAAAAAGCTTTGCAGGAAAAAATTATTTTTTTTATTTCAAATAATTTTCTTCTTTTGACGGAAGGCAGCAAAGACGGCAGCGTGCCCCTCAGGTGTATAGACACCGCAATCCTCAAGGCCACTGGCCAGCAGCTCCCCCTCCACTAGTCCTCGCCCAGCTAGCTAGCTACCTAGCTGGCTAGCTAGCTGGCTAGCTGGCTAGCTAGCCGGCTAGCTGGCTAGCTAGCTGGCTAGCTAGCTGGCTAGCTGGGGGGCTGGCTAGCTGGCTTGGAATAAGAGCTAGCTAGCTAGCTAGCTGGGAAGCAAAGCTAGCTAGCTAGCTAGCCAGATAGCCAGCTAGCTGAGTGGCTAGCTTGGCAGGTGGCCAGCTAGCTCGGCAGCTAGCTAGCCAGCCAGTTAGCTAGCTGGCTAGCTAGAGGGGTGGCTGGTGGGCTCAATGGCTGCGCAGCTAGCTAGCCAGCTAACTAGCTAGCTAGCTAGCTAGCCGGCTAGCCCAAGACTGTGTTGTTTGTCTAGCTAGCTAGTTAGCTAGCTAGCTAATTTGTTGCTTGGCTGCCTCTTTGGCGCTAGGCACTGGGGTGGGTCTAGCTAGCTGGCCAGTTAGCTAGCTAGCTACAGACCCGCCAGCTAGCTATCTGGCTAGCTAGCCACGGGCCCGCTAGCTAGCTAGCTAGCTAGCTAGCTAGCTGGGCAAACATAAACTAGGGGAATCCCTCAATTTCAGAGTCGAAGCCGAAGTAACGCAAGGCGTCCAGAATGCCTCCTGAAAGAAAAAAAATGAACGGCAGAAAAAGGGTTTAGGGTTTAGGGTTTCAAAATTGGGGTTTAGGGTTTCAAAACTAGGGTTTAGGGTTTAGGGTTTAGGGTCTCGGTAGGTCTTGAGGCTGAGGTAGGGTTTAGGGTCAACGCAGGGTTTGAGTGTAGGGCAGGCCAGCGCTAGGGTTTGACTAGAATTTGAAGGCGTGGTAGGCTTTAGGGTTTGGCTAGGGTTTAGGGTTTGGCTAGGGTTTAGGGTTTGGAGAGGACGGACCGGCGCAGGGATAGTTGGAGAAGCAAATCTGAAAAAACAGCGCAAAACAAATTAGGGTTTAGGGTTTCCCCTTTCATCTTTATTCATGTTTTATTCCCCTTTTTCTGTCTCCGTCATCAGGGTTTAGGGTTTAGGGTTTAGGGTTTACATGGGATGTAGGTTTCCTCCCAGCAAGAAAGAACAGCTGTTGTTCATTAACTGGATCTCCCTCTTCCCGTGGGGCCCCCTCTTGAGGGCCCCCCTGGGGCCCCCCCTGGGGGCCCCCCTGGGGGCCCCCCTGGGGGCCCCC